TAGAGGGTGTGGGGAGCCACAGCCCCGTCCTCCAGGGCATGAAGCAGGTATGGAGGAGATCAAAACTCCAACTGTTTGTTGGGTTTTTTTTAATTAAAAGAAAATTAATATCATGTGCAACATCATTAATAGGCAAAAGAAGTAGTCTTAAGCACCAGTTTGGAGCGTGCTTTTCAAGGTTTTATATTAATGTGAAGCTACTGTATAACCTCTCATATGACTAGTGCTGATATTCTGTATAAACATAAAACAAAACTGTATAAAAATCATCAAATGATAAAGAGCCCCCCAAAAGACTATTACACCCAAAGTTATTTATTATAGAATGAGCAACAAAAGAAACCTATTTAAGTTTTGAAAGAGTTGAGAATACAGACAACTGAAATACATTTGTGTTTACATTATTCTGATTGATAGAACAGTCCATATTGTTCGATTACCTTATCTGAAAAGATGAAGCCCAGGACACCAGCAGTCAGCTGCAGGATGAAGATCACGATCAGACAGATACAGAACTGGGAGGAGGGAAAAAGAGCAGTCGTTACCACATTGTAATTTAAACCTCCTCCTGTGTCTCCATGAAGCTGTTGCTTATGAGCGCCTCACTTGTAAAATAAAAAATGTGCAGATTAAGCAAGAAAGCAGAGAACAACTAGTGAACTCTAGAAGCAAAATATTTTAATGGTTTCCTAGTGTAACCTGTTTGCTTGGCATAGATAGCACAAATATAACCAATGATCTTAAAAGATTGTGCATCTGGACCCTTAAAGATATAATAAAAACTTTAAAATCCATTAAATTCTTCTTCCTCACAGTTTGCAAGAGGCAGAGGTTTTCTCGGAGGGACCCCACACAACCGCAGAAGGTGATGATGAACATGAGGACCCCCACGATCAACAGCATTACAGCGGGGTCCACAGCGAGACATGCGAGCGCTGTTTCTAAAGCAGAAGGGGAGAGAGAAGACACTCAAAGGATAACACAGACAGAGAGGGCAGGCTGGGAAACATTTCTGGAAATATAATTCAAAAACTGCATTTTCAAGTATGTTTTTAGTGAAAAAGTGGACTAACAAAGCCTTACAGAAACAAAAGCACTCTACCTACATGTGATGGGACTCCCACTGTGTTATTAAAAAAGACTGTATGCTTCATAAATAGAGAATTGTTTTACCTGCGTGTTTCACAATGCGGGCATACACTCCGATTAACACCAACACCAGAGAAATTATCTGAGAACAAACACATAGAAAAAAAGATTACCCAAGATTTCTTTATCCTTGGGGCAATTAAAAAAAAATTAGAAGTGAAGTGTAATATGCACTCGAGGGGAATATGAAGAAATATTTCTTTTATGTTTCTGCTTGTACAGGGTGCATCATCATCTTTCCAGAACACTCAATTACAATAATAAGAAAAATGTGCAGTGGCTACACATGAGTCACCGATAAGGCTGCACTGATGATTTTCCAGAAACATTCACTCTGAATCAGTGTTAAACTGCATCACCAACAATTGGTTGTTAAAACTAGGAGATTCTTCCAGTCTCTCTGCTTTAATCTGACTATATTAACCTACAGCAACCTGCAGACTTCATTAAAAAAAAAAAAGGCTCTTTCACTCTGCACTGCTTTCTCAGTCTCAATAGAATAATAGTAAATACTCTTCCCAGCCTGAATGACATAGATCGAGTTACTGCAGACACTGCGCCTTAATGTGGTGGGAGAGAGAGGTCAGGTTTGTCTTTTTGGAAGGGTTTAGTTTCACAGTCAAAGGGGAAAAAAAGGGGAAAAAAAACCACAGGGGTGATATTAGGAAGGTAATTCATGTCTGCATAATTCCAATGAAAAGAAGCGACGCGCACTACGAGACTCACTGTAGCTGGAGGGAGCAGAAATGACAACACATTCCATACAAGTTTTTACAGACTTATCCTGTTTGTACACGAGCACTGCCTCAATACTGCTGACACACTTATGCACAAAAAAAAAACATGCAAAAAATGAAACAATTACAAATATAATAGAATGTGCAAAGGAAACACTACAAACACTGAGCAAGGACATAAGAAAACACTAAAACTTCATGTCAGATCTTGGTTTAAGCATTCTAATTTTCCTGAAAAAGGGTTAGTCTCCTCACATGGATCTAAACCTCAGCTGGTTAAATCTGCAACAAGAGATCAACTCTAAAAATGCTGTAAGAAATCTCCTTAAGTTCTGGCCCACGGTCACCTGACACCGCAACCCACTGATGGGAACGTTTTGTTTACAACCAACCTTCTGAGCTTCGCAGTTTTACATAATTTGCGGAATTTTAATTTGAATGATGTTATTCAGTCATTTGTTGAAATAGAGATGTATCACCACCTGCACAACCTGGCACAGGGGACAACCTCTGTCAGGAAATAGATGTGAGGTGGGGACATTAAACAAATGTGTGGCCCCATGAGCACATTGACCCTGAAAGTTTGCTTGGCATTGAGTATGTAACAAAAAAGGAAATCAGTGAAACTGGGAAAACTCCTTTGTGTTCACATTTTCTGGTGGCTGAAACAAACCACAGCACTGACTGAGGTGACCAAATCCAATCCTGATTTTCAAAGTGAGAATAAAACTTAGTCAATGTTTAAACACTGAGCTGAGAACACCTGGTGTATTTGTTTGTGTGTATGCCTTTGTGAGTGAGACCCATACTTCCTTCTCCCTTCTACTCTTTCCCTCAGTTTCACTCTGAACACCAAAGTTAAAGAACAACTAAGTGAAACAAAGCAGCAAAGTGTTCCGCTGACAAGGAAGTGATGCCTTACATGGTTGGCATAACTGAAATCACAGCATAAACGTCTTTGAACTATTTGTTAGTCAAACGTCCCCTGGAAGCTCCAAAGACAAATGATTAACCAGCACACAGAGTTCCTAAAATGAAGGTCACCACACGCTGAGATCAGTCAGTCAATGCTTTTATAATAGCGCGCGATTACTTACCCAAAATATAAAATTAAATATGAACAGCAGGTACTTCACAGCTGGGCTGACAAACGTAAACTCCCTGTCAGATCTAGGTGCGCCTCTGCTTGTTCGTGCCATGGCGACAGGTGAGCGTCTTTATTCAAGTTTGCGCGCAAAAAGAGCCAAAAGCTGGGAAAAGGTGTTTCCTAAAGTTAAACCGAACACCTCTCAGCATGATGACGACGACTGATTTGCTGACATGCTGACACATAACAGTAAGGTAACGAGTTCCCAGCTGCCCGCCGACCCTGGTTGATAGTAGCAGGGTGTGTAAAAACTGGGTGTTCCCATTTTTTCTCCACTGTGTTTTTTTTTTGTTGTGTGTGTTTTTGTTTTGTTTTTGCACTAAATGTTCCCTGATATTAACAGGGTCCAAGCACTGATTTAAAAGACTGAGTTGGGATTTTATTAATTGGAAACAACGGTTACATTATCAATAAGTACAAAAATAAAAGCCCAATTGTAAGTAAACATGTATGAATGCAACACTAGAGACAAAAAAGGGCAAAAAAATAGCATATGGAAAAAAATATGATTTTTCTTTTCTTTTCTAGTCTATTAGAAAAAAGTAAACGTGAACCACATTTGAGCTAAAACGGTCCTCTCGCTGTCTGCTTTTATTTTGAAGGCACGATATCGTCATAACATCCGCTTTACCTAGAGGTTATTTCCGTGTTTATTAGGATGTCTGCAGAAGTAATAATCAGTCAATTTTTATAGAAATATATAAAATACGAAAATGGCGTGGAAAAGCGAAGGTTTGTGCGATGTTGCGCGTTTGTTTGCTAGTAGGTTTATTTATTTTCTTTAGCTCAGAGAAGCCTTCTTAAAACAATTAGGCTGTTAAGCTAACGTTGCTAATTCTCTCTATTCGTATAGCTGTAACCTGTTAATTGCAGTTTCTAGTTAAATTATGTGGTGCTTTCACTCCAAAACCTTTGTTTCCAGTGTCTTCGGCAGACCGTGTTCTTCCTCCAGCCTCTCTGCGTCTCCTTGTCCCTCCAGTGAGACTCATGTCTGCCTTCGTGTGGCAGGTAGCGCAGCAGCTCAAAGTGATGCAGTATGACAAGCTGGCGGACTTCATCAGTTTGGCAACAGAGATGGTCCCAGAGCTGCTCAGTCCCACCCAGAAGGCTCAGCTCATCCTGGGCCTGAGAGCAAGGGTAAGTGATTAGTCCCAACTGTAAATACATTTTAATGTCAGTGAAGCTGAGATGAGGAATTAGCCTATACTAATGTAGTACTTATCTATGTGGCCCCTCAGAGGGTCTTTTTCCTGCCTTCACCTTAAGGCAAGGCAAGGCAAGTTTATTTGTATAGCACAATTCAACAACAAGGTGATTCAAAGTGCTTTACAGAGACATTAGAAACAAAAACAAATAAAAAGCATGATTTAAAATTGATTAAAACAAGCAAACAAACAAACTAACTAATTAACAAACAAACAAACAAAACAGTATATAAAATCAAAACAGATAAAATCAGAACAGTAGATAAAATCAGTGGTTAAATATAAGTTTTGAAATTTACATTTAACTTAATGTGCTAGTGCATGTCTAAGTAATAATATATATGGTAGGTTTTGAATATTGTTGTTAACCACAATTTACATTTTAACCACATTTAAAAGGCTTTGGTAGTTAATTGAACTACTTGGAACATTAGTGAACATTCCCAGGTGTGGCCAACCTACCAAAAGTGCTCCAAGAGTACATCGACAACTCATCCAGGTGGTTGCAAAACAGTCTTGTTACATCTGGGATAAAAGTAACACAGCATTTCTTTAAAAAAAACATCATACCAACAGTAAAACATGGAAGTGGTAGTGTGACAGTCTGAAGCTACTTTGTTGTTTCAGGACAGGATGACTTGCTATAATTGGTGGAACCATGAATTCTGCTCTATTCTAGAAAATCCTGAAGGAGAATGTCCAGCTATCGGGTCATGCCCTGAAAGTTTTTTTTTTTTAGGTTATTTATTCAGCTTATTTTTGTCTAATATTGCAACTTGTTTGATGTAAGTGTGAGAACCAGACAAAAATCTGATCTCAGGAGGGTGGCAAATACTTTTTCACAGCACTTAATGTAAGGCACGAGTTCTGTTATTCATCATTTCATTCATTACATTTTTGTTGCTTTCGAAGTTGAAGTGTTTTGTGTTGCTTGTTATTACATGCCTAAATATTGTGCTTCTGCTCATAGTGGCAGTCGGTTTTTTTTCCACAGTATGTCGTGATCTTTTTTTTTTTTGCAGCTGGTTCTTGAGCTGTGTCGAGGTGATGGTGTATCCAACCTGCAGATGATCCAGAGTCAACTAGATAAAATCCACACCTGCAGTGTTGAGCTGAGCTCTAATCAGGAGATGGTGGGTGTTTTTAAAGACAATTCAGAGCTGTTTCATCACCAAATTTAAAAAGACAAACAAGCAAGCAAACAAAAAATTAGACAAACAATGAGCTTTAGGAAAAAATAGATTAAAAATACAGAAAAAAAAACTTTTTCCTGTATTGTGTGTCTTCTTTTTGACAGGCCAGTTCTGATATATTGAAGACATCATACAGCAACTTTGCTAGCCTGGTTCAGAACATTTTGAATGTTCCTTTTGAGAAGGAGTTCTTTTTTCAGGTAAGTTGGTTTCTGAAAAATTCACAAGTCATAAGTTTTGAAGCCTCTGATTTAGCTACAATCAGTGGCTCATATGGTTCTAACTTATCAGTCACAAGGTAGCCACAATCTGTTTTTTTCGTTTTCTGCACACGGTACCATAATTTACATGTTGTATTAAATGTATAACCTATAATCTATGCTTCTCATCAAGTAGATGAACCTATAGTTCAGATATGATTTCTTTAGGAGGTTTTTCCTGCCAACTACGGCTCCGTCTATAACCAAAGGATCCAGCAGCTTGTGTCCGTCTTTCTGTCCAGACTTGAAGAGCTGCTGCCAGTACCAGACCTGCAGCAGGTACTCCAGCAGTACTACAAAAGTAATTTGCAGCATGAGATCAAAATTTGTAACCTCTAAGATTTTTTGTTCTCTTACAACCTGCATTTCTGTGGTCTTTTCTTTCCATCTCAGACAGCAGCTTGGCTCAATGAAACACCTGTATCAGAAGAAATTGGACTCCATCTGTCTGAACCCTTCAGTTTGAAGACCCTGCTGCATCATCACAGACAGACGGGGACTCTAAGTTCAGGTGGGAACCTTTTTTTTTTTTTTAATGAAGTATTATAAATGAGTGAGTAATGTGTAATATTATCGGGCTTTCTTCTCTGACAGCACGGTCAAGCAGTGAGGACGATGTCATTTTGTCCACACTAGCCCTCCCTTCTCAAACTGTCGCAGAGAGGTTCACTGAGGCTTATAGTCAGGAAGATCATGACAGTGAAGAACAAACACCATCACTGGAGGGTTTAGAAGAAGAATCAAGTCAAAGCTTTGATGTCACGGCAAATGATTGGCTGCCAAAAAAGAAACCAGGTCAGAAAAAAAAGTAGGAGACCAATATTACTCTTGAATCAGTTAGTCTTATCTCTCTGACTTGCTGTGCTTTGTACTGTTTTCAGGTCCTTTCTCTTGTTTATTCATCTGCCCTCAGTGCTCATTCACACATCGCATAAAGAGAAAAGTCCAGGAGCACATCCAGAGTGAGCACCAGATAACCGCTTCTATTCACACAAACTTTTCTGGGAAAAAAGTCAGGAAGAAGATACGTCAGAATGCTGTGAAAAATCAAGTAAAAGGTGACTCAGACAAACGGAGGAAAACCGAACCAAAAAGTGTGGCTAAAAACTGGGAATGCAAGCAGAAAAATGACAATGTAGAAAATAAGGAAAAGCGTAGATGGAAAGAGCCCAAGCAGGAAGACAGAAGGTTTCTGAGCACGCGACCTGTGAACAAAAACTTCACAGAGAAAGAAACCAAATGTCCGATGTGTGAAAAGTTCTTTGAACATCCAAATCAATTGAAGGCTCACATGAAGCTCCACAGCTTCCCCTACCGCTGCAGCCAGTGCGAGAAAGGATTCACCAGCCCATCAGGCTTTTATCAGCACCAGAGGCTTCATAAGAGAGGACGAATATTCATCTGTAACCAGTGCAACAAGGGATTCCTGTGCAGGTATTCACTCAAGCAGCATGAACGCCTGCACAACGGTCCCACCAACTTGTGCAACATCTGCGGGAAATGGTTCAGCAAAGCTGGCATCACGAGACACATGCAGATGCACAGAGGGGAGAAAAACTACCTCTGCACCACTTGCGGGAAATCCTTCTTGTCTTCGGGCGAGCTGCTGCTGCACACTCGGTCTCACACGGGGGAGACGCCCTACACCTGCGTCCAGTGCGGGAAGGGTTTCTCCAGCAAAAGTCACCTAAATGTCCACATGCGCTCTCATACAGGGGAGCGCCCATACCTGTGCTCTGAATGCCCCAAGCGTTTCCTTACGTTAAACTGCCTAAAGAGACACACACTCAGCCACAATGGGGTGAAACCATTCAAGTGTCCAAACTGCAAGAGAGAATTCTCGCAGCAGGGGAATCTGAAAAGACACCTTGCCACTCATAAACCCCACATGTAGTTTGCAGTTCTTATTTTATTGTCAGTCAAACAAGTTTATTTCAAACTGGAATTCCAGAATGAACTACCTTCTGTATGAAGAAATAAGTGTGGGAAGCATTAACCATGCAATCGTTGGAAGTATAAGCTTTGTTTTCTTCAGTGTATTCGGCAGGCATTAAAGTGCACTTGAGGATATACTTACCATCAGCGATGTCAATTTCATTTTAGTTTCACACACCATTACACTCGCTCACATTGTAGTGTAGAAAATTTGATGATGAAGCTTTCTGGGTGGAGTGCTGGTTAAATATGCAACACTTTCACTTTTCAGCTCTCTGTAAAACTATTCTAACTTCATCCCTGTTTAAGAAACCTGCAGCCTTCCCTTTGAGCTGAATCCTATGAATGTTCTTGTGCCACTGAATTTTTTTTGGCATTCTTGTCAAAAATGTAATTATCTTAAAATTTGGGGGTTTTCTCAAAATTTAGATGTATTCACTTGAACAATGTTTCAACAACTTTAAATTCTGACTTGTGGAAGGTGTTTTTTTTCAGCAGGGGAACAAAAACTCTGTAGGACACAACCCGAAACATCAGAGAAAACCGGTGCAATCTACACATCCGTTAGCGCCTGAGTGTCATTTCAAGTTTCAGTTGTTTCTTTGGCATTGTCTTACTGTGCGGGATCACCTCGCTGCTGCCAGGTGAAGTGATTAACATTTATTTGTTACAATGAAGAAGCCAGGAAATGTCCTCCCAGCATTCATCTTAAAGTTTCTGCAAATCAGGCACACCACCTCTCCCTCAATGACACCTTCTGCATTCAAACTTTGGAAGGAGCCAGGACTGATCCACAGAGTCGTTTACAAATGTAGGCATCTGGAAACTTAGAGTGAACACATTTTCTTCCAAAGTTGGACATGTTTAGAGAGCAAAAGCCCACACAGTTCTTAGAAGGAACTCAGTAGTGTTTTGTTTTGTATGAGACCCTCTTGTTCTTTGTGAAATAGCTGGTCCATACAATAGCTTTTCAGGACCTTTGATAGTTTTACCGTATTGCATTCACGGCACTTAGGTCATGTCAGAGTTAGTCTATTGAGGAACATGTGAGGATAGAGACCTGTGAAAAACACACACCACTGTAGGAAATGCAATTTATTTGCAATTTTTTAATAACATCATTCCTCAGATAAAAATGCAATGTTACAGGAATATACATCAGATATTAATTTAAAACTTGCTTTCAAGGGACCATACAGTCTAAATATACTTTTTCCTTTTTTATTTACTTGTAGCGTGCGTTATAAGCAAGACAGACTCTGTCACCAATGACAGACTGACAAGTTACAGATACAAACTGTACATTACTTATTTACAAATCAACTTTTTGTTTGGTTTTTTTCTTTCACTTTTTATTGAAAATAGGAGTAGAAAAAGTGATTGAATTAATATTCTGATTTATTTCATTTGTATTCTTTCCCTTTCTAAAATCTAAAATGAAATGAAGGAGAAAAAAAAATCAAGATCTCTCTTTCGGAAAAAAAAGCAGAACGAGAGGGAGAAAAAATAAAAAGGTTGTGTCAATCGTGAGATCATGTCACTTAGCAACCTCAGAACAAATGAAATTCCTCGCACAGTCGAGGGGGAGTGGCTTACGTTAAAGAATTCAGTTACAAAAAAAAGAAAAGAAAAGAAAAAAAATGGCCATCTGCCTCCAAAGCTACCAAGCACAATAACACACTCTAGTTCATTTTTCTGATCGTAAATAGTGCTGTTATTAAATACTACATTTAACAGTAGCGTCACTACTAATATTACAAGGAATTGGTCTTTGTGTGATCACCTCTCTCCAAAAAAATAAACTCAAGGATTGACAACAGACGTCTCTCTGACAGAGAAGAAGAAGAAAAACAGCTCAGTCCTGTTAATGGCCCTTTAACACTTTGCATGAGTAGTGACGTACACGTAAGATCATACAGAGCAGCATAGCCCTGATATATAAATGAGGAACAGAAAGAAGATAAAGACTGTGCTGTACGTAGAGCTGCGATTCTCTTGCCACTAAATCAAGCTGGCCAAAAGCAGGGAAGTGCCTTCTTTGCTTAAAGAGATGCTCCTGCATCATCAGTAATGGAAGAAAACACTCGTGATGCTCTCAAATGGGCCCACTCATCTATTTAAAGCTGCATCTGCACACGCGCAAACAGATACAAAACCTCTATGTTTCTAACTCAACTGAGGCCTTTTATGTCTGTGCTGGTCAGAACATCTCTCTTCCATAATGGCTACGTAGAAGGAAAATCTACAAATATAAAGTGACTCCTCAGGTGTGAGTAAGAGCATATAACTGTATCCTACATTCACGGGGTGATTGGAGAAATAATTCTCATCTGCGATGCAATGTTAAGTAGCTCTTGTCTGTAAAATGAAGAGTGGAGAAGCAGATACAGGCGGAGACATTCGTGGTTCTAATGAGGTGAAAGCTGTTCCAAAACCAGAACCGCTGACAGTCAAGTCTGCATTGTAAAGCTGCTGCCACACCTCTGAAGTAATATCCCAAAGAGAGTCGCGTTTGCTGCTACGGAAAGACTCAATCTTAGTGTCAAAACTGAGTGCCAGGCAGGGCTCTCTGTGATTTGGAATGAATGCGGGATAACACACAAGGTCTTTGAGGTCCTGACAAAACAGTCATACTAAATATTCACATAAAAGGTGCTGTTGTAGGTGCCGCTATACGATGAGTGAATTCTATTCTATACATTATTCCTAAACCCACTGGGCAAGAAAATTTCATCTTAACGTGGTGCTATGAGGGGAAAAAATGATTAAAATCAGCTGTTTGGGTGCTGCTATGTGCGAGTGCTGCTTAACATGCAAAGAGCTGGCTATGAAATTCAGCAGTGATCACTTATTTAAAGCTAAATCAATCACTTCTACTTTGAAGATGTATTGATTTCATTGATCCCAACAGATTAAATACGTGTAATGGTCATGTAACCCAAATTTGTAGTTTTAAACAGGCTGCGTGTTCTTGATCGCATTTAGTCCATCAAGGACTGAATGAAATGCACCTGTGCCCCACTGCATTTCCTTACCGACCTGTGATGTTTCTTCATAAGATTGCGTCTTTGCACGAGCAACAAACAGATGAACGTAAATCTTCACACAAAATCAGTCTCTCTCTCTCTCTCTTTTTTAAATAAATAAACTCACAGCATGGCACCTGAAACTTGATAAGGATGTTTCTTTAAATAAAACCAGATTCTTTCATCCGTCCCACAAGCTGCAACAACCTGCCCCTAACAGTCATTTAATATCATATAATATAGCTATAATATTCCTATTATTTAATATCTAAAATAGAAGACATGCAGTACAAAGTTGCATGTAACAATATGTTCCCGCTTTCCGTTTCTGCCCTCTTTCCCAAAGCGTTCATTAGCATCGAAGTCAAAATAACATCTGAGGTGATTCTCTTGATGATTTTAATTCTACTCCTACGACAGCTGGCTATTCTAATTGTACCTGGAAAATAAAATACAATTTATATTCAAAATAGTCATCTTAAAATATCTTTGTCGGCATCAAACAGTGATCAACAAACGCTTTGATTTACAAGAAAATATAATATGCATCTGCTGCAACAATGGTAGATCCACGTGAGGAGATCTGAGTGACCGACACGGGGAAAGATTACAAGACTTCTGCTCTCCAGCCTCACACTCTCCGAACTGGCAAAGTTAAGGATAAACACACAACTCTAATACTTCTAAAAAGTGTGTAAAATGCTATTTTTTTGTTAGTTTATTTTCATTTTTTTAAAATACTGAACAGATTAAAAATTTCTCAATGTACAGCAGCTTTTCTCCGTAACGATAAAAATCAGTCTTGTCATCCTTTTGTGGCTTCCCAGTGTCAAGATTTTATGAAGCAGTGACCATGTTTGCATTTCCAGGCTAAATCCAGCAGATAACATTGTTGGTGAATAAATATGGCAAAACCAACCTGAATTCATTTTGCTTTCTTTGAAATAAACAGTCAAATTGCTGCACTGGAGTCTGGAGCTTTTACTGTAAATGCAGACAAAAGATCTTATCGAATTAGTTCATCAGGCGCAAAAATACTTGACTTCCTACTCTGCACACAACGCAGATGAATAAATGACTCTACACACACATGTAGATCAAGTCCTCCAATATCTTTTTTTGGAAGTAAAAGAAGAAAAAGAAAAGAGGCTACACGATTTAAACGGCTCAAACCCTCCCCCCCCCATAAAGATATCTAGTCCTTGGTAGGTGCCATTTTTGGTTAGGTCTGTTAAAAATGTACAGTGTGTATATGTTTTGCTGATGTAGGACTACTTGAAGAGAGACACGTCTCTCAGTGCTACAGTAGGAGTAATAACCAGACTCTGACCTGCACGTACAGGTTGCTGGTAGGACGTTTCAGACCTCTGGCCAAAACACAAAAACAAACACGAGCAAAAGCATGTCAGGATTTGGATCTGTCTGCTGCTTAAAGTTGGGGTCTTGAGCCTTTTAATTTTGGAGTCACAAGCAGGGGCGATGGATTGCTTTCCTGTGGTGTAGCTGATTGTGAAGCAACCTTTCCGAATCTTCCTCAACAGCTCAGAATGTGGGCAATAAGTTGAAAAGCCCCACGATTTACTATGAAACATCCATAAACGTCCATAGCTTAAACATTCAGTTTTCTTCTTCGGTGCTTCCTTATTTCCTGCTGCTTCCTTTTGCTTAAAAAATACATTAAAGTGGGAATTCATACTGACTTCTAGTCAGCAAGCCTACATAGAAGTGTCCTTCCTGTTCCTTAATCTAACATTCTGGCGATTAAATATCATATGTTCATAAATATTTTGCTATATATGGTATATAAAAATATACAATCATTGGCTAGTGGTGAGACAAAAGATATCATCATTTATATAGGACCAATATTTTATATCCCTATGCACATAAAACATTACTTAAATGTATTGTATAATCCACCATGTCAGATCACCCTCCAGAAATCCAAACATGATGAAATAATCTCTGCGTTCAACATTCTCAGGCCAAACGCCCACGTCTTCCCATTGTCGTCGACCGCTGAATAGATTGTCACCCATCTGTCAGGGACTAAGCCGTTCCCCACTCCAGCTCTGCTTTCACTTGAGGAAATTACTTCCATTTGAACTGCACCCTTTTGTGGCAGAGGGGCTTTGTTTACAGTT